GACCCGGCTTTTAGCTCTAGACCTGTTGTTTGGGAAAGATTATCGAGGATTGGTATTAACAGAAAGGAGCCTTGGTGTATGCTGGGAGACTTCAACGCCATCCTGCATAATGGGGAGAAATTAGGAGGCCTAAGACGTGGTGACTCATCTTTCTTACCATTTACAGATATGCTTGAGAGCTGTGATATGTTGGAATTGCCAAGTAAAGGTAATCCCTTTACTTGGGGTGGTAAAAGAAGCAACCTCTGGATCCAAAGTAGACTGGATAGGAGTTTTGGGAACAAAAATTGGTTTAAACATTTCCCTGTGTCCAACCAGGAATTTTTGGATAAACGTGGATCTGACCACCGACCTGTTCTTGTCAGACTCACCACGTCCAAAGAGGAGTACAGAGGTCATTTCAGGTTTGACAAGAGATTATTCAATCAGCCAAATGTAAAAGAAACAATCTGTCAAGCATGGAATAGCAACCAAAGGAGTGGATGCTCTCTGGTTTTTGACAAACTGAAAAAATGCAGAACTGCTTTAAGTAGATGGAAGCAAGAGAACAACTCCAACTCCTTGACCAGAATTACTCAAGCGCGTGCTGCTTTGGAGTTTGAGCAATCTGCTGCTTTCCCAAGTACTCTTCGGATGCAAACTTTAAGAGATGATCTATGCAAGGCCAATCAAGATGAAGAAATCTTTTGGAGTCAAAAAAGTAGGGACAAATGGATGCATAGTGGTGATAAGAATTCCACATTCTTTCATGCCTCAGTAAAAGATAACAGAGGTAAACAACATATTGATCAACTATGTGATGTTAATGGTAACATGCATAAAGATGAGAAGACAAAAGGTGACATTGCTGCAGCCTACTTCAAGAATCTGTTCAAATCCTCAAATCCAAGTAATTTCCAGGATCTTTTCCAGGATTTTATTCCCCGTGTCACGGAAGGTATGAACTCTGTTCTCACTGCCACAGTCTCTAAAAAGGAAGTCAGGGAGGCTGTTTTTGCTATTAAAAGCTCTAGTGCTCCTGGTGCTGATGGCTTCACGGGTTTTTTCTTTCAAAAATACTGGAAGATCTTGGAACATCAGGTTACTTTAGAGATCCAACAGTTCTTCATCTCTGGAGTGTTCCCAAAAGACTGGAACTTCACTCAGTTGTGTCTGATTCCAAAAATAAAGAAACCTGTTAACATGACTGATCTGAGGCCGATTAGCCTGTGTTCTGTGCTTTACAAGATTATTTCCAAGATTTTGGTCAGAAGGCTGCAACCATTTCTTCCTGACTTAGTGTCTCCAAACCAATCTGCCTTTGTTGCAGATAGGCTGATTTCTGACAACATCCTCATTGCTCATGAGGTTGTACACGGTTTGCGCACCCATAGGAAGGTGTCTGCAGAGTTCATTGCTATCAAATCTGATATGTCAAAGGCCTTTGACAGGGTAGAATGGAACTATGTTAGAGCTTTGTTGGTAGCTCTTGGTTTTCATCAGAAATGGGTGCAATGGATCATGTTCACGATTACATCTGTCTCCTTTACAGTTTTAATCAATGACAAGGCTTACGGGAACATCATACCATCTAGAGGCTTGAGACAAGGTGATCCCCTTTCTCCCTTTTTGTTTGTGCTGTATTCTGAAGGTCTCACACATCTTATGAACAGAGCTGAAAGACAGGGCCTACTCAGTGGTATCCGTCACTGAGTAAAGCTGACAAAGAAGTAGTCTCGTTTGCAGACGATAGTCTTTTTATGTGCAAAGCTGACAAAGAAGAAGTCTCGGTTATTAAGAACATTTTCAAGGTTTATAGTGATGCAACTGGTCAGAGGATTAACTTCAATAAATCTTCTATCACTTTTGGTGCTTTGATTGTGGAGGAATCTAAAGATTGGATCAAAACTGAACTTGGTATCACTAATGAGGGCGGTGCTGGCTCCTATTTAGGTCTCCCTGAGTGTTTCAGTGGTTCAAAAATTCAGCTATTAGACTACATTAAGGATAAGCTCCGTGCTAGGTTGTCTGGATGGTTTGCTAGAACTCTTTCGATGGGTGGAAAAGAGATTCTGCTCAAAGCTGTTGCTATGGCCATGCCGGTCTATGCAATGTCCTGTTTCAAGTTAACAAAGACTACCTGCAAGAATTTGACCAGTGCTATGTCAGAATTTTGGTGGAATGCACTGGAACACAAAAGAAAGACTCATTGGGTTAGTTGGGAAAAGATGTGTCTCTCTAAAGAACTTGGAGGTTTGGGTTTTAGAGACATTGAAAGTTTCAACCAAGCTCTTTTGGCTAAGCAAGCATGGAGACTTCTTCAAAACCCCTCAAGTCTTTTTGCAAGATTTTTCAAAAGTAGGTATTTTGATGATGAGGATTTCCTTGAGGCTGAGGAGGGAGCTAGACCATCTTATGCTTGGAGAAGTATCTTGCATGGAAGAGAATTGGTAATGAAGGGATTAAGAAAAGAAGTTGGAAATGGGAACTCTATAAGCGTTTGGATGGACCCCTGGATTCATGATTTTGCTCCAAGGCTTCCCTTTCAAAAGCATTTTTCTGTTAATCTCAATTTAAAAGTGTCAGACCTAATTGATTTTGATGGTAGATGCTGGAACAGAGATTTGCTGGATCACCTTTTCTACCCTGCAGATGTGAGCTTCATTGTGAGAAGGAAACCAGTGATTGACATGGCTGACTTCTGGGTTTGGCTTCACACCAAAGCAGGAGATTTCTCTGTTAACTCAGGTTACTGGCTAGCTTTTCAGTCCAACAAACCTGAGTTAATAAGAGAAGCCAACCAACTGCCTTCAACTATGGTCTTAAGGAGATGATCTGGTCCACCAAAACTGCTCCAAAAATAAAGATGTTCATTTGGAGAATCCTCAGTGCAGCCTTACCTGTGGCTGATCAGATTATTCGGCGTGGCATGTCTTGTGACCCTAGGTGTCAGGTCTGTGGGGTGGAGGGTGAGTCCATCAACCATGTTTTGTTTACTTGCTCCTTAGCTCGTCAGATCTGGGCTTTATCTGGAGTGCCTACACCGGAGTTTGGATTTCAAAATGGCTCAATCTTTGCCAATATCCAATTCCTCTTTGATCTAAAAACGAATAGTTTGATTCCTGATCATATAAAGAGATCTTGGCCTTGGGTTCTTTGGAGGCTTTGGAAGAATAGGAACAAACTCTTCTTTGAGGGTCTTATCTTCTGTCCTTTAAAATCTTTTCAGAAGATTCAAGAGGATACTCATGAGTGGTTTTTGGCTCAAACTCAGGTCTATATCGGGGACTCAGAGATTATCATTTCCGAGGAACCATCCCTTCATTGCTGGGAACCTCCTCCTTCTGGCTGGTTAAAATGTAACATCGGAGCTTCTTGGTCTGGGAAAAAACGTCTATGTGGAGGAGCTTGGGTGCTCAGAAATGAAATAGGAGAGCTTTTGGAAACATGTGTGATAAAAAAGATGTAATGCTGACTTGTGTTATTTGGGCCGTGGAGAGTATGCACAGTCACAAGTTTACAAAGGTCCTTTTTGCCTTTGAGCCAGGTGATCTTTCGTCTGCTTTTGCCAGACCAATTGCTTGGCCATCTTTCGCTTCTCAGGTTTCAGATTTAACACATTTTTGGGAAAGATTGGGGAATGGAAAGTTTCAGTGGAAAAGTCTACAGCAAACAGGGGAGCTTCTCTAATTGCTCAAAGTGTTGTAAAAGAGGACAGGCTTCAGTCTTATGTGGCCTCGGGGCATCCTTTTTGGCTTCGAAGAGTGTTTGAGGTTGAGAGAATCTCTTCTTAATGTGCTGTTTAATTTTCCTAGTCCAATCTTTGTTTTGTTTCTTTTTGGTGGTAGGTTCTATTACTCTGTTCTTACCTTTGAACCTTGTCTGGTTCTTTTGTAAAGGGTCGCCTTCTGATCGATATTATCAATACAAAATCCTTTCAGTGAAAAAAAAAAAAAAGACTAGATAAGGAAACACATGTACTTTGTTTTTTGGTTACAGGTACTTTTGTTTTAAAAAGTATTTGAAAAATTCACATCAACTGTCTCAACCCCAGAGAGGCAGTAGCTAAAGCGCAATAAGCCAACAACCCAAACTTCAGCCAGAAGCTGTCTGATAATCAAAGCAATGCTTTTATGGAATCTTATTAAATCAAAATTTATAAATAAACAGAAAAAGGCGCAAGAGAACAAAACATGACTTCAGAAATATAAACTGTCTGGGAATGAAATGATTATGCTTAGTGCATAAAAAAGTGGAAAACTTAGATTATTCTACCTTCTTCCCAAAACGACCAAAGTGGTATATACTAATTTGGTCGAAGAAATAAATGTTTCAAATTTCTAAGCGAACATATCTAACCAATGTATCTTAAATGGAATGGTGAAATGATCTCATAGACGGTATCATAACCCGAGTTAGTACTTTATTCTGTGAGTTGAAAAAAAATGTTAAGCTTATGTGTGGTAAAGAAGATAATAATAAAATTGTGTAAAAAGGTCTAAAGATTTGACAAAACAAATCTACAAATCGAGAAAAGAAACAATTAATACCTCGTATAAAAAGAGAACTGTGATTGTAAAATAATGTATGTCGTGTCGTTCAAAATGTATCATCGGAAGAGCATGGTCGGATATGCAATGTGTTCATTACAAAAGGTCGGATGGCTATTTATGCCACGCTCAGCCTTAGTTTTTAAAAAAAAAAATGTGTTCTTGAAAATGAAATGAGCCTAGTGATTGACCACATTATGAGGTCGGAAGAATACTTGTTTTGCTTGTCTCATAAATTACAATGTCAAATAAGAAGAACCTGTATAATGCATTTCATACATATTCCAAATAAATTTAGGAAAAAATATATAAAAAAAGAATAGCAATATACACAACACCTCTATTTAAAATATAATTTAAGTAGAATATTATTTCAATTTTTAAATATGTCAATTTGATTTAGTTTTAATAGTTTGATTTCAAGTAGAATGGTAGTTATCATAACTGTTAGTTAGTTTATCCTCAAAATCATAGCAAACAAAGCTAAGAACATTAATTTACTTTCCAAAACATATGAGTTCATTGGCAAAGAATATCAATTTGGTTCAACAATACTTTCAATCACACTTTTCATTTCTTTGCTTAGTTTTATTTCTAATCACTAAAACAAAGTTACCCTAGCATATAACCTATACACAGAGTATCCAAAATCACTAAAGACGATGATGCTCTGAGACAAACATCCACCCAAGATAGACACTAAACTTGTGGTTGTGCATGAACCTTCCTCAAGATCTACCATTAGGACCAGAAGCAGCCATGGCTACTTTCTCAGACCTGAGGCTGGAACTTGCTTCTGAAGTGTTCTCATCAGAGGTTGTCTCCTCCTCTTCCTCCTTGTGGTCTCCATTTTTCTTCTTGGCATTGAGAAACCGTCCGCCACATCCTCTTGGCCGTCTTATCGCATGTAAATGCCGAGATTCATGCATGTATGGCTGAAAACAAGAAATAAGAACATATTGGTAAGGAATCTACCAAACAAATTACAGGTTTTACCCGCCAGGATTTTACCTTCTTTGCCTTGATGGCTCTGTTTCGTGCCTCAAGTTTTGCCCGGGATTGCCTGCGCCTGAGTATACCGTGGTATTGCTTTGCGTTAACAAAAACAGGTTCCTCGACTGCATCGCATTGCAATGGAACTCCTGGCTGTTGCATTCCCATTAACTGCAATTGGACCTGAAAAAAAAACTTGAAAAATAAGCAAAAGCTTTTCTATATATTTAGAACCCGGGACATCGGGGCTGAGTAATAATACATACCCCAGGATAGGGATGTGGAAGATATGCTTGCTGTGAAAAGATGCTTCTGTAGTAAGGATCTGGATACGGGTATAGCCCATGTGCCTTCAATACCAACATACACAAAAGCAAAAACCATATTATCTCAATTCTCAATTAGAAAAGGTTGAAAAGCTTAGCATCACTTTGAATCAATACTATCATTACACTGCATCTCAAGTCTGTTTTTCAAAGCAATCAAAGTTAACATTCGTACGAAGTCTAAAACTGCAGAAAGGCGATGATGACGGGACTTTCTTGCTTGAATTATCTCAAACAATCAGATTTTGACATTGTAAGCATCAAAACGAAAGCTTGTAGCATTGAAAAAGAGAGATGTTATAAACAAAGGTAGGAGAATCACAATCAAACATCTTATAAACGAAAGCAAGATCACACAAAACTAAACAAATCATCTTATAACTGAAAGCAAGATCACATTCTTGAGAATTTGGCTGAGAGAAATTACCATGGGCTCTGAGTAGACAGAGTTTGTTGTATCAATAGATTCCGAACTTCGTCCTGAAGGAATCTGTGGTCTTGTTTGGGAATCTGGACGTTCTTTCTTCCCATGACTTTCATTGTTATCTGACCAACCAAACATACCACCAAGAATCAGTTAGGGAAGATAAACATTAAAACGAGAACATAATGGAAATGATCAGAAAGAGAGACAAAACCAGAGAGCTCATGTACTGAAGAAGTCATGATTCATGAGAAGACGGTCCTAGTTACAAGTCTGAGTAACAATCAACTGAAACAACAACAAAGCTCAAAAGTCAGAATTCACTAAACCAAAACCCCAAAATCATAAAACGAGATTCCAGTCAGTTTTCGAAGAATTCAATCACAACCCTATAATCTAAACCAAAGCCAGAACATAAAAAAGCCAAATCTTAACCTCTAATATCACAACTTACACAGCAAAAGCATTTTCCAGTAAACGAGATACAGAACCAAAAAAGGATAGAACTTTGAAAATCTGGTGGGAAAAAGACAAAAGAATTTACCTGAATTTATAAAAAATATTAAGCTGATTCAATCAATCTCTGGATCTTACCCTCAGAAAATCGTTAAAGGTCTCTCCTTTTTTTGTTCTTAACTAAGGAAGAGAGACAAAATGACTAGACCCAAGAGCGGACACACCATGTCGTTTTTCAGTTCATAGCCTCCTTACACTTCAGAGCGTCCTTCTCTAACATTCATAAACATCATGCCGTTTCTCTGTTTCCACTCACACTGTTGTGATAGGTCAACTCAGAACCACGAAAATGGGTAGGAATGGAAAACGACACGATGTGCAATAGTGAAAAGGATGCATTACAATGAGGACAAGTGGCGAAACAGCGATCGAGATTGTAGGAAAAGACGGGCAGATCTGAAAAGCTGCCCGAATATGTTCTCATTTGCTCGACTCCACTAGTTTTGCTTGACCCTACTTGTGCCCGTTGCCCTCACATACATCTTTCGTTGTGACTCATCAAAGAAGCGTCGGTATCGAAACCGAAGATTCCGTTCGCTTTTGGTTATGTTCGAATTTCAGAGACACTAAACCAGCTTTGGTATTTGGGTTTAGTTTGGTTTGACTTCGGTTCAGAGACAAAACAACCTTCCTAAACGAATGAGTGACTCATATAAAAAGCAGTAAACCTTCCATATATATAGTTCCATAATAAATCTCCTAAACTGTAGTTGCTAATTGCTACTTGTTTGACTCGAAAATATTTGAAAACTACACTTATATATGTGTAACGTCTTTGAACTTATCCGAGGTTAGAGTTATTTTTAGTCCCCCTTAAATCATCTAAATAATCAGATACGCGACTATGATACTTTCATTAGAATAAACATTGTCAAATTAGGCTTATAAAATCATTACTTTAATAGAATATCAATTATCAAAAAAAAAAAAAAAGTACAAGTATTCAAAAGACGGATTACATAATATCTCTTGGCTAACCTTATAGCAATACTACAAAGGGTGAATGAAATATATATACCTGGAAGAAGAAATAATTAAAAATCTATACATGAAGATTAGTTATTTAGTTCTCTTTCATCCGACTCAAGGTAATGCCAAAAATACTCTTAGTCACATATGCACGTTAACAAGTAAAATATCGAGATAAAGAGTTTAGATGCAGCAGCAAAAAATGAGTTTTGGCGGTAACAATTTTAAGTAGTTAATTATTTTATTAGCACGATATATATTATTTTATGTCGATATAACTTTTAATAAGCTGTTTTTTCTAAACATTAGTAACGTAAAAGCACTATTCTTCTTACGCCGAAAATATGTTTATCGTGTTAAATCATTTATTATATGATTGGTATAAGCTAACTTATATATTAACATGTTTACTTATTTTGATAATTTAATTATTACCGTTAACTTATATATACACTAGTAAATTAGTTATCACCCTAACATATCTTTTAAAATGGTAAATTATATGTTACATCATAGATAACTCTATGGGTAGTAAATTATTTATATTTTTATCACGTTAATAACTAATTTTGTTTTTATTTCACTCGGTAACTAGTATATTAGCAATTATCATTTTTCGTAACATGTTAAAATATTTATTTTCATTATTTATCTCGGTAACTAATATATTAACAATTGCTATATATAGTTAGGATGACAAGAACAGATGAACGGATTAGTTCCATTTGTCTTCAAAATCAAAATCACCATTGTTGTAACCAGTTTCGTCGGAATTGAATAATCACTCTGTCCAAATCCCGGAACCAACACCCGCCTTGGTCTTCCTTTTTGAGGAACTGAAGATTGACGCATTGCTGGATTTGTTTTGCATAGCCACCGACACCATTATGTCGGATCTAGAACCATCGATCTTCTTTTATTTCACACCAAAAAAACTATCAACAAAAAAAAGAGAACAATGATGGAGAAAGAAAAAAAAACAATTATTAGTGAGATGAAGAGAAGTTCCCTAACAAAACCAGCAAATCTGCAGAAAACAAAGCAAAAAAATGGAGATAGCGAGAAGTAGAAGAACGGCAGTGATGAACCATGATGGAGCACAATGATACTACGACGACGTTGTCATGAGTGGTTGTGCCATCTCGTGTAGATCGTGCAGACGGGAGAGCATCGGTGATGAGATCATAGTCAATGAGTAGATATCGACGTATCGTCACCGCCACATCTCTAGTTCTTATATTTCGTCGGTTTAGTTATCATCATCTCTTCAATTAGTTGATTAATATATTTCAGAGGTATAATTGTCATAAAAAGCAAAACAGTAAAAGGGAACAGTTTTGAGGAGATAACTAAATATTGATTTTTCCATGTATAGATAGTGCAATTTCCCTACTACAAATTAACTTTAAGGTAATTAAATACATCATAAACCATATGCTTGCAAGGACACATGGAAACATCATAAACCACACGTTTTGGCATTGCTCCTCGAGTTTTCTACATGGAAACATTCAACCACAGATGGTCGTAACTCGTAAGCAATCAAACTCGTACTCGCACAACAAACAATAACATGCATTATTAAATATACTAATTTATTGCGTAAATAATATACTTTACAAATTACAACACAATCTATAATTTTACCGTGTACATAGTATGTAGTTCAAAATCAAGTAAGCATTCGACAAGTAAGAAACGTATAACGTAACTGTAGTGAGTGAGCAGTCATTAAACAACAAATTAGCGTTTAGGAAATGGATGAACTAGTAAACATGATTAATATACACAAGTAAATAACCATGATTACTTAATCACATATATAGATAATCTAGTCTGCTTTCATCCCTAAACTCCTTATCAGATACGTACTCATCTGGATTCCTAATTCAACACCTGTCTTTTGATGTCTTGAGTTGAAGATCATAAATATTTAACCGCAAGTAAAAGTTTTAGATTATATATATCAAGCATAATCTAGCCCTGAGATCAACTTAAAAAGAACGATTTAAGTTAACAAGAATTCACCCCAACCATCATAGTCTAGTCTAACCCATGATGATCCAACATAAATTAATACAACTTAAACATATTAGAAGCAAAATACTAAAAAGATAAAGATGAGGCAAAATTCATAATTTGGATAGATAGATAAGGATGATAGGTTCTTTTCTAATTGTGAATCAAAGATATTAATTTTTATCAAGGGGTATTAAAAAAAAAATCTTGATTCAAATAGATTAGAGAGACATTAAAACTTAGATTTAGAAATACCTCTTCTTGTTATAGTTGTCATATAAATCTTAGTTTTTCGACATCAATCATATTGTCAAAATGTAGCTATATTACCAAAAATGGATCCAGACTAGAAACACTGAAATTAATGAATCGAATGTCCCAACTCCCAACCATATTTAGTCATATAAACAAAAAAAAAAGTTTTCTAAGAAGGACATATATTGACTGAAAAATAAAGCTATGAAAAGTAATAAACGACCAAAAAGTTAGACTTCCAAAACAGAGGCTATGAGTGTGAACCGCTGGATTGGTTTAAAGTCCGATCTTTTATTAGTTCTTTAAAAAGAATCCGGATTAATTTTAGTTATGGGATTAGGTGGATTGGACTATACAAATGATTTTGAATTAGGTAGAACCTTAATGATTATGAGATCAACTCATTAGTTCTTTCCATTTTTTTTTTTTTTTGTTTGCAACACATTCTAATGATAAATATTAGAATTATTTTAATCATACGAGTCAACCATTAAATTTTATTTAACCCCAATCAATGAAATAGTGAACTATACAATTGACGAAACTAGGTTCTTTCCAACACACAAAACATAAAAATCCATAATAAACTGGATTTGTTGGATTGATGAGCTTGACCCACTAATTATATAAAAATGTGTGCATGATAAAATAAGCCAAACACAGATAATATATACATATAACATGTGTACATCTGTTGTATATCATCAAAAAGGTATAATGACAAAAGACAAAAAAAAGAGGGGTAATATCGTAAAATCAAGTAAAGGAGCTGGGCATAAGCTTTGTTCTCGAGTCTCCCGCTCCGCTCAGGTGTAGCGCCTCTTCCACTTTCTCTCTGCGTTTTCTTCGGAAACCCTAAAACTCTGCAAGAAGAAGAAGAAAGACTCACCGTTGAATTAGCTCCTCTCGAGGTCAAATCTCCACTTTATCCAGATAAATTCAGCTACTACTTGTAAGTTTGCTTCTCCCTTATAGGATTTGTTATCTCAATTCGTTAGCTGGGATTAGCTTAATTGGTCACCAGGAATAATTTGATACCTTTTAATGTTGATATAGTTTATTGCAAAGCTTTGATTTTTCATTGAATTCATGGGAATTTATACTAAAGGGCACTGTTGTTTCTCACAGGGGTATTGTGAGAGAAGAGTGGTGGAATCATTTTATTTAATAACCTTATGGAGGAAGAGGTTGTCATGTCTGAGAATGGTAGTTTTGAGTTTCATGATGACACTTTATCATCATCAGTTCAGATTAATGGTGTTCTTAAAGAGAATGAGAATCCGGATGTTGATTTTCTTGAGGATTTAGATTCTTACTGGGAGGATATAAATGATCGGTTGACTATCTCTCGAGTCGTGAGTGATTCGATTATAAGGGGAATGGTTACTGCAATTGAGTCTGATGCTGCTGAGAAGATAGCTCAGAAAGACCTTGAGTTGTCAAAGATTAGGGACACATTGCTTTTGTACCATGTGGGTTCGGAAGGAAATGAATCCTCTAAGTCTTGTTTGATGCATGATAATAAGGCGTCTTTGGACACTCAAGATGAACTTACTCAAGGATCTTTAAGCAGTCTTAAAAAAACCGCGAGGAAACAGTTGTTGATGCTCGTTGAAGAGCTCACCAATTTGAGAGAGTATATTCACATCAATGGATCAGGCGCCACCGTCGATGATTCATTGGGTTTAGACAGCAGTCAGCATGAGACCAGGTCCAAAACTGTCGATAAAATGCTTGATTCCTTGAAGAGCATTCTAGAGACTGTGTTGAAGCGGAAGAATGATATGGAACTTCCCTCCTCGTGGCAGCAGGAGCATGATTTTCAAAAAGAAATTGAGTCTGCAGTGGTGACTAGTTTTGTTCGGAGTCTCAAGGATGAGTATGAACAGAGATTGTTGGACCAAAAAGCTGAATTTGGTGGTAATAGAAGTCTCATACTTGGAAATATCAGAGAGATTACTGGTCTGCGCCAGGAACTAGAGGCCATTCGTAAATCGTTTTTGGATCATGAAAATGGGGACGAGGCAGGGGAGGTAGGGGACCGGAAAAGAGTGGAGCAATTGCACCGCAAGATGTCGGGAAGCCTTAGTTCAGTTTCTTCAGTTTGGGAAAATGGTAAGCATGAAGAGAGTTCTACTGGCTTGATGCCTGAGTATAATGAGGCTTTAAGACACATGTCACGAGATGATTTGATCAGTCACTTTAAGATCGAGATGAATAAAATGAAAAGAGACCATGATTATGAAATACAAGAGCTGACAGAGCAATGTTTTACCTTTAAGCGCAAGTATTTGAATTTAACGGAAAGGGGTTCTTTTTCTTTTATGGGGAAGGATAAGGAGCTAGAGGCGCTGAAAAAGAAGATCCCATTTGTCATCTCTAAATTGGATAAGATTTTGATGGAAGATGAAAAGTTGGTGTCTGAAGGCAAGAATGATGCTGATGTTAAGCGCAAACTGGAATCTCTTCTTCTGGAAAATCGTCAACTGAAAGATTCACTTTCAGACGCTGCTGAGAAGATGTCACAGCTTTCTCAGGCTACGGCAGATCATCAAGAGTTGATTCGAAAGCTCAAATCAGATGTTGAGGATTCTCGTGTTGAAGCTTCTATTTACAAAGATGTTTATGGGTGTTCTGTAACGGAGTTTGTGGGCCAGATTAAATGTGCAAAACAGGAGACAGATTTAGAGCATAGTATGTTGAGAGAAGCATATGAGTTGTTATTGGAAGATCTTGCGAGTAAAAAAGCCCGTGAAAGCAAGGAGGAGTTTGAAGACTCTTGTGTCGAGTCCGTCATAATGGAAGAGTGTTGTTCAGTCATATACAAAGAAGCCGTCAAGGAAGCTCATAAGAAAATTGTAGAGTTGAACATGCATGTAACAGAAAAAGAAGGAACTCTGAGATCAGAGATAGTTGACAAGGAAAGACTGAAAGAGGAGATTCATATGCTGGGGTGTCTCGTCAAGGAGAAGGAGAATTTAGTCCAAACAGCGGAGAATAACTTGGCTACAGAGAGAAAGAAAGTCGAGGTAGTCTCTCAACAGATTAACGATCTGCAATCTCAGGTAGAACAGCAAGAAACAGAAATTCAGGATAAAAGCGAAGCACTGAGAGTTGTTTCGGCACGCGAGTTAGAGAAAGTAGAAGGTTATGAGACGAAGATATCCAATTTGAGAGAAGAGTTAGAATTAGCAATAGAGAGTTTGAAGGAAATCAAAGATGAAAAAAGGAAAACCGAGGAGAAGTTATCAGCGACAAAAGCAGAGAAAGAGACACTTAAGAAGCAACTTGTGTCTCTGGACTTAGTCGTTCCTCCTAAATTGATAAAAGGGTTCGACTTTCTAGAGGGCTTGATAGCAGAAAAGATGCAAAAAACGAATTCTAGGTACCCTTTTTCTCTGTTTGCTTTCTGTACCTTTAGACATGGATATACAAGTACTTTATCCATTGGTTCAACAGCATGAAGGTAATAATTGTATGAGAACTTTCTTGGCTCTTAGGTTGAAAAACATGCAGAGTCAATTGAGTGATCTGTCACATCAAATCAATGAAGTCAAGGGGAAAGCATCGACGTACAAGCAACGACTGGAGAAGAAGTGTTGTGACCTCCAGAAGGCCGAGACTGAGGTGAGTCATGATTGTCCCCATCCATCAAATGTATCTTTTATGCTTGTTACAATAGCATGCGTTTGCGAATTGTTTCCATACCCTTTTTTAGTAGAAGAATAAACTGATATTGGATTAAAAATGATGTTTATATGGTTGTTGAATCACAGGTTGATCTTCTTGGAGATGAGGTTGAAACTCTCTTGGATCTTCTTGAGAAAATATATATCGCTCTCGATCATTATTCTCCAATCCTAAAGCACTACCCTGGCGTAAGCACGATCTCTCTCTCTCTACACATATTTTCATTTTTCCCATTTTGAGATTGATTTTTATGATCAGACTATACTTATGACTTTGCAGATCATTGAGATTTTGAGGCTTGTCCGGAGAGAACTTAGCGGAGAATCAAAGAGACCATCGGATTGATAAGTCGGATATCTTTCACACTAGTTTATTTCTGTTTCTTTCTGTACAGATCTCTCAGGTTTATGTAATGTTGATGATGTTTAGTTTTGTTTAGTAGATAGGTTTTGATAATGTACTGTCATGAATTCGAAAAATGTGATGTTTGATCGCCGGATCTTTCAGTCTTAGAATACAATTGGATTACATATTGAACTTGAATCTCATCTACCAAAGATACTGCAAGTGATCCACCTCGTTACTGGTCAGATCATTCGCCAAAATTATCATTAAGGATTAATTAAGAAGGTGTCAAAGGAGAGGCATGCATTTGATGATCTGATTCCTTGTTTAAACCAAAAGTATTCATAAAACCAAAGATCATCAGCTAGTGGAGATGTCAAGAATGCTGTGAAACTCAAGGTACCACATCGCTTCATCTTTTGTGATCTATCTATCTGATCTTTGACTTGATGAAAGTTGAATAGAACCAGGAAGAAGAGGATCACTTACGTGTAGAAGAAGAAACACCTCATGATGCTGATGATGTTGTTGTTGATGTTGATGTTGATGATGATGATCATGATGTTGATAATAATGGTGACAATGAGGAGGAAAATGGAAGATATTGTAGACGTGAGTTTGATCATGGGTACCATCTAGTGAAAGGTCAAATGGGTCATGGCATGGAAGAGTACTACATCGTAGCTGATACCAAAACCGTTAAAGGCCACAATCTTGGGTTATACGCTATATTCGACGGCCACTCAGGCATTGATGTTGCGGATTATTTGCATAACCATCTATTTGATAACATATTGAGTCAGGTTTTAAAAACAAAAACTCACTTATTCCCCTATCAAGAATTTCTCACACAACTTAAAGACTGTGTTGTTTTTGTTGTTTCATGAAGCCGGATTTTTGGAGAAACCCTAAGAAGGCAATCAAGAGAGCGTATAAATCTACGGACGACTACATTCTCCATAACATAGTTGGTCCACGAGGTGGCTCCACTGCTGTGACGGCTATAGTAATTAATGGTAAGACAACTGTGATTGCAAACGTTGGAGATTCAAGAGCAATCTTGTGTCGTGCAAGTGATGTAGTCAAACAAATTACGGTTGATCACGAACCTGACAACCTTGTCGAGAGCAAAGGCGGCTTCGTCTCCCAAAAGCCAGGTCCCTTTTTGTATCTTTATTAAGAAGAAAAGAAAAAAAATCCATTTTGAACTTCCAACTCAAAACCAATCATCAATGTTACTTATAATGATTAGGTAATGTTCCGAGAGTGGATGGACAACTAGCGATGTCGCGCGCGTTTGGAGACGGAGGCCTTAAAGAGCATATAAGTGTGAGACCGAACATAGAGATTGTCGAGATCCACGATGACACAAAGTTCTTGATCTTGGCTAGCGATGGACTCTGGAAGGTTTCTATAAATGAATAGACTATTATTATAAGAACAAAAAAAATCTTTATTACCCAAAGATTGGAGTAAATCTTGATCGGTTTCTTTGTCAGGTGATGTCGAACGACGAGGTTTGGCATCAAATCAAAAAGAGAGGGAATGCAGAAGAAGCTGCGAAAACGCTAATTGATAAAGCGTTGGCTAGAGGAAGTAAAGATGATATCTCTTGTGTTGTTGTTTCTTTTCTTTCCTTCAATCCATCGATTAAATGATTTATCGTATGTTTCTTTTAGTGAATCACAGTTTCAGTAGTTTTTGGAAAGGAAAACAAACAGTGTTTCATACAATAATAAGTTCCGAGTCGAATCACTGTTACATATTGTTACAAAAATGTGTATAGCAGAATCACAAGGATTCAGGACTAGTGGAGGGTCTGATTCTGGAAGGCATTCTTAAGAGTCTGTCTCTTTCCATCTTGTTCTTGAAAGAGTGCTTAGGCGTTATGGACATTTTGTTCAGGGCATAGTCAAGATCAGCCTCGTCCCCTTCGTCACTGTCCTCATCTCCGTTCACGATCACCTCAGCATCATAATCATCATCTTCTTCATCTTCATCATAGGTCGCACTCACCATTGACCAGTAGATGAAATTCCGGGAGATAAAGCTACAACATCATCACCCAAGAAAATGCAGAAACAGAGTCAAGAACATTAACCTTTATTTAAGATACTTGCAAAAGAATCAGTGCAATGGTTTAAAGATAGTAATGAAACCTGTTTGAGGTTTTGAGCAAGCAAGGGTCAAATGGGAAGAACGTATCAAGCCTCTCACACCCGCCAAAAGCACGGGAGAGCTCAGACTCAAGTAGGTCATCGAAAATGAACGAGTCTGAGACGATGAACAGACCACCTGCTTTAGCTTGTCTAAGGAACTCCGCAACTACCGATGGAAGGCATACCTATTCTCAAAGCAGAATTCGCTTATCATGCATTTGGTACATTGGAACACTTCCAAATAACAGTTGAGCGTATGTGAAGAAAAGAAAACTCACCCTCAATGGGTTTAGCTTGTGCATTAAAATTGACTCCAATGGTGTAAGCTGGGACCGAAAGCGAGGAACATCCAGGATGGACCTCATCCGGAAGCAGAGCACATACATGATTGCCTGTGGTCACAGAACAGATTCAAATGACAGTTTAAACAAATGTAACCACATTTTGGAATGACTCTTTGAAATTAAAACTCTAAAGGACAGGTCAATTAAATATATTTTTGAGAATGAAATAGCAAAGGGATGATTGTAGAATTTTGTGACAGGAGGAGCCTGGGCTTGAAAGCTATATATACCTGACATCCGGAGAAGAAAATCTGATGTTCTTCAGGCCTAATATCATCATTGCAAGTTCTGCAGTAACCCACACACTCATCTATCAACCTAAAATTTTTGGACACAACAAAAACAATGTTACAAGTTACAACAAACTGAAGCTTCAATCAGATCAAATGATTATGTTTGAGGTAACATTTTGTAGAAATCGCTTCCACCTTTTCAACATGCTAGCCACAAAGGAAACCGGCAAAAACTTTCCACGAGCCAAGAAGCTAGCAAGATAAGCCACCGCACTCATTCTGTTAAGGGGGGAGAAAGAGAAGCGCAACCAAGTTTGTGATTAGAAAAATGACAGAACATATCATGCAGCGAATGAGAAAATTTCAACCAAAGGGATACTTGCCTGGTAGATGGATGCTTGTTGCTGGAGAGAAAAATCTCCACCAGCTTACTTGCAAATTTCACACCACAATTTTCAGGATCCAGTGAGCAGGCATAGAACATCAGAAACTGCAGATGATATCGAAAGTGAGTATAAACCGAGACATCTCATGTCGACCATGCTAGAGTCTTGAAGAAAGATGTCCATAATTATGCAAAATATGATAGCTGTATGGACTACCTGGGTGAATTTTGATTTGTATGTGTTCAGAATGAAGTTCTCAAATGACTCCAAGAGGATATCAAACACCTACGCCAAAATCATTCAAAAAAATCAGAACTGCTAAGAAGATTCGCGAGTCCATCAGTAAGGAAAGTTTAGATACATATGTCAATGAGGTCCAAGTTGGTGCCATACCTGATCCAAACGACCATCATTTTGACAGGATTCAAGATGCTCAAAAGCTACGACCATTAATTTGTCCAACAACTTAGAGACTACACTTCCATCTGATGTATCCTGCTTTAGAGGTCCCACAGGAAGCTGCAATAGATAAATCAAGTCCAAACTCTCATAGTCCAGTAAAAAGAGTGTTCCTACGTTCTTGTTATCTAGCAACTTCTAATCGATACCAAAGGAAAAAAATCAAACTTCAAGCCTACCTCGTCTCCTTCATTTATAGTGCCTTCAACTGCGTCTTCAAGTTCCATATCAAACATGCCTCTACTAGAGTCATCTTGTGGAATATCATCCCATCCAATCTCTAACTACAAAAATACACCAGCATATCATTCACTCACCAATACCACACTACTTACTGACCTCAATTGTATAAACATATTCTGTCTACTTACATCCAAATCTCGCAGCCTCTCCATCACCACACCAAGAATCATGCTGCCACCAACTTGCCCGATTGGGCTATTCTCCAACTTTAATAAGCTCTCCACATATATCACTATCGACTGCAAGACGGGTAAAATAGTTTCTTTTGAGTTTGTCACCAGTATAAACTTATGACTACATTGTCCGAAATTTACCAAAAAGAAAGACTCACATGGTCCTTTTTGTGTATTTTGGGCATTTCCTGGAAGAGCATTGGCACTAATCTTGAGGGAGTAAGAGGAACCAAAATAGATATTTTCAGAAGCGCTGCATGCACCCGAGAAAGAACTTCTATCTTCTTGTTTAGTACACGGGGGTGCGAAAGATTATTTACTACCGAAGGAGGCGGAACGAAGTTGCTTACAAGCATATTCAGACAAGGGTCCAGATACTTTCCACGAGTGACAGCCTGTGATGAAAAAAGGCAAAACATAAATTGTCTAGCTCTTCATCTAGATTAATAACAACAGGCGTAAGGGTAATTGTTGAGTTGTGTACCAGTGATATGACTAGGTTCACCAATGCATCCATGACAACAGGTCTGTGGTCCCACAATTTCATTCCAAAAAGCTAGACATAACAATTGGGGAGAAATCCAGGGTAAGAGGTGGGAGGATCCATCTTAAACTAGTTGAATTGGAAGCAACTGTAAGCCCCGATAGAAACTTACCGAAGAAAGAAGCTTTTGATGGTGAACGATATCTATGCAAGCCACAGAGCCTGACAGAGCCTTCAAGACTGTCTGCCAGTTGAATTGAAAAATGAAAATACTTTAGCAAACAGAAAAAAAAAAAAAAACACACAGAGTGAATTGCCATACAAAGAATAGATCACACCTCAAGCTGCGCCACTGCATCGGGATCCCTAAATTCTTTGATGTCCTTGTTAATAACTCCAACAAGCTCACTGTAAAGGTCTGGGTCCCCCTGGCATTAGCAAAGAAACAATAAACTAGTACCAAGAAGCATAACACATATGGCATCAACATATAAATGCAAACACATAAGCAGAGGAAAGAAGCAAGACTTGTACGAGACTCACAGTTTTGACAGATGTAAGGGCGTTTCTCACGGTCTGCACCAAATCTGTGTCAGATAAATCAACGTTGTCCACATAGTCTACAGTGTATAAGCTCGATGGATCACTTAGAAGCTCTACTGCTCCCATCCTCTCTGGACGTATGTAAATGGTGCTGCTACTTCAAGTTGGTCAAAGTTCGGAACTTTCCTGATGGAAAGAGAAAGTATAGATAAATCTCAAAACTTTCAACATTAACTTATACTCAAGGCACCAGAAAAATTCAATTGAAGTCAAATTCGAAGAGCTATATATATAGACTATCAGCGGCGAAAATAGGGAAAAGAAGAGCTACAAGAATCGATGGTAACCACCTAAAATCTCCATTGATTACAGCTTTTACAAGAGAAAACTAGCATAAGTACACAAAATACGACGGTGAGAGAACTCACAAGGATGAATAATTGAAATGGGTTTTGCTTCACGTGGCTCCGTCAGCTCCACGAAACCCTTGTCACTGTCCCGTTCTGATAATTCCGGCCTTCGTTTTCCACTCCTTCGCTATGGTTTTTTTGTTGAAGATGAAGGAGCAGATTCTTATGAAAGACGGCGATAATCGAAAAATATAATGGAGACGTTAGGGTTCACACTTACTTTTTTCATTTTCTTAATCTGACGGTCCTCCGCTCTCTTTATTTAATTCCAACCTTATTATTATTTTTAATTTTTGTCGTCATTACATCAAATTTTAAAAAAACTCTAGAATAGATTTTGTAGAATACTCCATTAAAGAGAAAAAAAAAAAAAAAAAAAAAAGAAAAGAATACTCCATTAAAGAGAAATTAGTTTCAAAGAAATTTTTTTGTTAACTAGGCTACTTTGATTGCTCACAATAACCATAATTAAATATGACCAAAACCAGATATGAAAACCGAAACAAGAAAAGATTAGGACCAAAACAGCAAGACCTCATTTCTGCTTACACAACACTCTCACACAAATTAGTTTTTTTACACCCAAAACAATACCGTAAAACAACAACAGACAAAAGAGAGTAATCAAAGCCAGCGGATACGAAAAGAAAACAATATTCTTTTTTTTTAGGTACAAACTCAATTAAAGATCTAAAAATCTCAAGCATCGAGCTCAGCATCTCCATCCTCCTCTTCATACTCCTCCTCATCAGCTGTAGCATCCTGGTATTGCTGATATTCGGCCACAAGATCGTTCATGTTGCTCTCTGCTTCAGTAAACTCCATCTCGTCCATTCCTTCTCCTGTGTACCAATGCAAGAAAGCTTTTCTCCTGAACATTGCTGTAAATTGCTCGCTCACCCGCCTAAACATCTCTTGAATCGAGGTTGAATTACCGATAAAGGTGGATGCCATTGAGAGACCCTTTGGAGGAATGTCACAGACACTAGACTTGACATTGTTTGGGATCCATTCAACAAAGTATGAAGAGTTTTTGTTCTGGACATTGATCATCTGTTCGTCTACTTCTTTTGTGCTCATTTTGCCACGGAACATTGCTGATGCAGTTAAGTAACGTCCGTGTCTTGGGTCAGCAGCACACATCATGTTCTTGGCGTCCCACATTTGTTGAGTCAGTTCGGGCACTGATAAAGAACGGTATTGCTGAGAGCCACGGGATGTGAG